TTTTTTGTTTGTATTTAATGATAAAACTAGGGAACACAAATATAAATTTTGGCAGGGTAGGAGTCACATTCAGCTAAAACAGCTTTATTTTTCTAACAGAATGGTTGGCGTTTGGAATGGGTTTATGGTGGATACAGTTAATTTGAGGGAAAGCTTGATAAATATTGCAATGATAAGGACTGGCTTTGACTCTTTTAGTATCTATCTTAATTTAGTGGATAGGACAGCTTAGATGGACCAAAAGATCCTTATTGTCCTTTAATTTATTTTAATGTTAAAATGTCTGAAGCTTATAAAGTGTAAATCATGAAAATACAAATATAGGCAACCGTACAGTTGTGTGAGTGAAAAACAGTACTACATTCAAGGATTGTGTAGTTATGTAGCATAAATCAGTTTGTTAAATCAAAAGAACAAATATTGTGTGTTCAGATTTGTTAAAACTATTTTAAATGTCATTAAATCTGGAGTTTAAAGAGGCTACACTATTACTATACAACTCATTTGCTTCAGATACGTAGTTTATATTTTTTGTTATAAAACTTCATTGTTTTAAAATAGAAGATTATTTTTTTATTTCTAAATTACTTAAAGGTCTGTGTCATAAAAGCATAAAATCCTTCTTATGTAGGCTACTTTATAACTTCCAGTCAATTTGAATAACAGTGGTTACTTATGGCAGTATTTAATATCAGAACAATTGCCTTTACGTGAGCTAATGAAGTATATCATTGTACATCTAAAAGATATGCTTAATATCATTGCTAACACTAAACAATTAAGATGCTGTAAGAAAATTTACTAACTAACAGACTACTGTGCTTCTTTAATATAAAAGAAACAAACACACAGTAGATTCTTAAATTCAAGACTTGTTAAGCATAAAGTTACATTTGTACACTCAATCACATAGATTTTTCTTAAATAGCTATATTTAAATGATTGAAGTTCATGTTATGTTCTTTACATTTTCACATTTGAATATGTAGTGGCAATGCACTCATCTTCTGTTTAAGAGCTGTTTTTCTTAGTTTAATGGCAAGAGATTCTAGTATTCTAAGGTGTCATTCTTTCAAGGAATGGAAAATGATGTGGGAGAAATAAGAGGTAAGCACAAGATCACTATTTCATCATGATTAAGAAAAAAATGATCAAACAGACATGTCCACAATTCAGTTAAAATGCGTCTTTAAAACAGAGTCCACATTAAAAAAACCTTTCCAACTTTAAGTACAAACACAATCCACTGAATGCCTCATTAGTTGTATATGAGTTCATGTGCCCAAGATACAATCAGGAATATACTGGCTCAACCAATAGAAGGCTCTGCAACTGAATTAAAGAATACTGTAATGCTTAAACCTACAACACCAATAGTATTACCAATTACTGTTATGCATACCTCCAGTGTTTTTCCATGTCATTCTCCATTTCCAGGAAGAATTCCACCTTAGAATGCTGGAATCTATTGTCATTAAGTTAAAAAACCAACTCTTAACCAGAAGTTGTACAAACTGTTTCTACATCTTCAATTGCAAAAATGTGAAGAAATGGACAGAACATGATTGATTGTTTGTTTTTTTAATTTCGCTCAAAGCTACATGAGGGCTATCTGCACTAGCCGTCCCTAATTTAGCAGTGTAAGACTAGAGGGAAGGCAGCTAGTCATCATCACCC